ATTCCTGGTCACAGCACATGCCTGGGTTGCAGATTCAATCTCTGGTCAGGGTACATAGGGGAGGCAACTGATCGATGTTTGTCTCTTACATTGATGTTTCTCTCCCTCCCTCTCCCTCTCTTCCCTTTTCTCTAAAATCAATAGGCATGTCCTTGGATGATGATTTTTAAAAAGTATTATAAAATGTTTAACTTTCATCAGCTTCAAGGTTTATGTTGCCCCCAAATTCTGCATGTAACTGAACTGTCAAATCTGCTAACACCTGCTGATTGATTTCACTCTGGATTCTAAGGTGTCCATTTCTTGCAAATTTTTCTTTGCTTCTTCTAATTTTTCTTGTGTTTCTTCTTGAGAATAAAGAAAATATCACCAATATTATAAGGTAATCATCATTAAGCAGTCATCATCTACAAGCACGATATCCTCATAAGCATCTTCTAAATTTTGGAATTGTTTCCTTTTTACAACTATTTCTTCCTTCTGCTCTGTAATTCCATTTCTATTCTGTGCAGATCTGTTTATCTTTTGTTCATTTTCCAAAGTAGCATTGGCATCTTCTGCAGCAAGGTCTGTATTATTTATATCTGTTCTCTACCCAGCAGCACCAACGCTGAACCACACTTTCCAAAAGGGGTTCAATTTAATAGAGAAATCAAGGGTGGTAAAAATAATAATACATTATATTGCTAACATTTCTGCACACCCTCTCATCCCCCAAGAGAAATGCTAGTTTCTGAGAAAGAAAAAAATAAATGTGTATGTTAACAGAATCTCACACTTGGAAAGCAAACATGATGATTGCCTAGCCTAGTACTCCCCATATCATGCATTCATTCTTTCCTCAGTGACACTAACAAATTCATGTAACCTTACTGAAGACTTACAGTCAAAAGGAGCTCACTATTGCTCAATAGTCCATTTGAGGTTCCACGCTCTGACTGCTCTGCCTTACTGTGAGCAGAAATCTGTTCCACTCTTGAGTCCTAGTGCCCTCGAGAACCACATGGCCCTCACATGTGAAGGCCCTGTGCAGAGGTGTCTGAAGCCCCCACTGCTCAGTTGCCACACCAAATCTCAGGTATTTGACTTCTCAGTGATGAACCACCATGCAGATTCCAACAAGGCCAAAAGAGAGGCATCACCAAGCTCCTTATCAGAAGCAGGGATGTCTTCAGTTGTCTCTTAAGCATGCCAGTCAGCTGCTGAAGAAGTGGCAGAAATCTCTAAAGTGTTGTCAAGACAACCGAAGTCCAAATATAAATCTCTGAGATTTCACTCAGAAGCAGTTTTTAAGTGTATGCACATACACACCCAGAGGAAATAATAAAAGATCCTCTATTCCTCCCCCTTCTTTTTTTCTCTTCCTTCTCTCCTCCTCCTCCTCTTCCTCTCTCTTCTCTTTCTCTCTTGTTTTTTGCCACAGGGTAACATGTGTTAAAAAATGCACACTGGGAAGCTTTCCACCTCTGGGGCTGAAACAGCTGCTGTCTCAATATTGTTTTTGTTAAGTTTTTTTTTTTAACATTCTAACATTGCTGTTTTTAAGGGAGCTGTTTTTAAGCTACATGTTTTATCATACTAGTTGAGATTAGAGAGTGGGACAATTGGCTGATACGAAGGAGACTCACGGGGTCCTAGGTGTCCATCAAAGACCCCTGTCAAACACACCTCCTGCATGGCGAGCTCCCATGGATGGCCTGACTTATCCCAAGAAATGTCACTCACAAATGCTTTAGGATAAACACAGAGAAGTACACCCATAATAAAAAATAAGAGCAAAATATTTATAACAGGAGCCTAAAGAAACCCAATGTGCTCAAGTCCTTGGTTTTTCCAACAGCACAAAGCATTCAGAGAATGTTCCGCAGACTGCTGTCAATTCCATCTGGGAGCACTTGTCAAAAGGAATAAGATCAGACATACCCTAAAATCAAGGGCTCTGACAGGCATAGGTGCAAGTAAAAAAGACATGCCTTCTGGTCCACTCTCACTTTCACCTGCTGCAAATGACCCTCCTGCCAGGAATCTCTGGCCCCACAATGGGAACAAAAGACCACAGCTAAGAAGATAAAGGTCTGCTTCGCCAATGCCTGAAACAACCTTGGGAAGCACATTGCAAGCAGTCAGGGCTAAAGATGGCACAAAAAAGATAGCTCCTCAACCTCTCCAGCGAGACCACAAGAATCCAGTTAAGAGGCTAGCATTTTCCATCAACTTTTTAAGGGGGCCCAACAGAGAGTGATCTCAACAGAGGGTGTGGCAAAGTGAAGCTTCAGGGAGGTATGGCAGTGGATAAAAAACAGGAAGCTTGGTGCTAGCCATATGCGAGACTTCACAGACCTCCTGACACAAAGAGCAAAGGAGCTTGGGGTTCCTGTTAAATGTTTGAAAGGACTTTGGGACTTGCAAAAGTCCAGCCACTGCCCACAGAGTTCTCTCTCAAGTCAAGAGAACAAACCCAAGGCAATTGCTTACAATGGCTTTGACCTCACCCAAATGCTCTGTCACTGAAAGCACTGCCTTATTTGGGTGAGCAGTTGAGAATACAGCCTGTCACACACATCTTACCCAGGACAGGACCAGTGAAACTGGAGGGCTTAACAAATATAATAAGGTCACTGGCCTTTCAAATAAGATATCCTCTGACCTAAATAAGACTAAAATCTAGAGCCACGCTCAAAAACAAGCCCCCCCCCCAAAAAAAGACCATGAAAATGGAGTGATATGAATGGCACTTTGAAGCCTCTGTTTGCCCAGAAACATCTTCCTGCTCTTTTTTGGCACTGTTCTCCTTTTCCAAGCTCAAACTCCTACACCAAGAGTCACTGCAAAGAACTAGCAAACAAGGGTGAGGTATAGTGTCCAGGAAGCCACTAAGAGTGTGTTTCATTCTCAGAGATAAGAGAAAAAGTAAAGGGATTTCCTCCAGCTTTCTCATCTCCCAAGCTTGCTAATTGTCGTCCTGGAATCAGAGGTTAGCAGGAAATGATACCATGTATCTAAGGAGATCATCTGGTATAGTCCTCTACCTTAAAAGGGAAGATGTTATTATATCCATTTTAGAGATAAGGTGACTGAGATATTTGTCCAAAACTGCACAGCTTGTGACTGGGAAAGAATTAGAACCCAGGTTTGCTGCCTCCTGGTGCAGGGTTCTTTCTACCTGATCTGTTTTCTTGTAGAAGGGTAGAGCAACTTATCCAGCAGTGAACTTGAAAATAATTCATGTAATGGGGCAGGGCCTGTGCCACCTAAGTAGATGACAGAGGGGAAAATATGGAAGGAAGAAAAAAGCAAAATATCTTCTACTTCATTTATTCCCAAGGCCAGTCCTGACACACACAACACGTGTCAAAGTTGCTTCTTCATTCCCTGGGATACGACATTCCTTCTAAGCCTTGGAAGGCCTTCTGGGGGCCCGAAATGGGTCCTCACAAGAAAAACATGGGATTCCTGTCATTGATGCCTGGACCATATTACAGAGACCGGAAGACCATGAAACCCACCCCTGCAACAATGGTTACGGTCAAGAGGGGAAGAACAGAGCTGCAGCATCCTATTCAGATCCCAACCGTGGGTGAGCCAGCCAAGGGGCAGGAACACTGTGGGAGTTGTGCAGGAGCAACAAGGAGTTTGCCAGATGTCCTGGAATTCTAGGAGAATCAGAGAGTCCACAGGAAATGCGAGTTATGGCAAAGGACAACCAGGAGAGACAATGAACACGGTCCTGTCAAAGGTTTCAGAAGAACCGAGATGAAGCCTGGACACTCCATTAATCTGCTACAATTCAATCCTAACCTAGAATCATTTCCTCTTTATACGCTTCCTGTACATCCATCTTGACAGACCAGTTAGCATTTCTTTGAGGCAAGTAAGAACAAGTCTACCCTATCAGCTGCTCTTTTTCTAGGAAATGGTTTACTTGGGACTAGATTTCCTAAGGGCAGCAGAAGCAGGTATCAATGCGAAAGGCCGCTTAAGACTCGGCTTAAAACCAACTCTTTCAAAAGAAGTAATTCTGTAGTTTGATGTTGGTCTCTACAAAAAGGAAATGGCCCTTAACATTCTCTAAACTCCCTGGGGCAGCTTTCAAACGGCTGCCCTGTCATCTGACAGGTCTGCCAGAATCCATGGTTTGGGTGTTTGTTTTTGTCTTGGTTCCTGGCTTCTTTCACGTTTCTTCAGGCTAAGACCGACCCAGTTTGGAAGAGGAACTGGTGATAGAGCTGGATTTCTCATCCTGCTTTTATCCAGGGCACAAAAGTTTTCTAAGCGCAACATTCTACATTACCTTTTCACCTCCCCGCCCGTTCATCCCCTCGAGCTTTCCCATCCCTAGCAGGCCTTTCTTTTTAAAAAGTGAATAAACCAATTCCTCCCGGGAGGAAAAAGAGTACTTGGCGCCTTGGCCAAGTAACTTAAAGTTTCCGCCGGAAGGAAATTATCAAAGAAGGAGAAAGCCCTCCAAGGCCGCGTGACCGGGACCGGCCGCGGTCTTCCAGTTCCAGCGGAGGGTCTCGGGCGCCCCGCCCGGCCCTGCCCCCAGCGCAGCGAGGCCCGAGCAAATCCCGGGAAACCACCGGCTGGCGGACTAACGAGTCAGGAAAGCTCCGGAGCAGGCTCGCACACGGACCTCAGCCGGGCTGGAAAGACGGGAAGGGGGGAGACGGGGGCACCGGGAGAGGGGGGCGCACGGGACAGGGGCGGCAGGGAATAAGGGACTGCGGGGGACCCGTGGGTGCGGAAACTACCGGGACGCACGGACTAGGGGTGCGCCGGGGACCAGGGAGGCGCACGGACGAGTGGGGTGGGGGGAGGTGGACGCGGGAGCAAAGGAGGACACACCGACCAAGGAGAACCAGGAGTCCGGGGGGACAAAAGGGGTCGCACGGACTTGGGGGCCGCAGGGGACGAGAGGGGTAAAGGGGACGTGGGAGGCGCACGGACGAGGTGGGCGCACGGAAGAGGGTGTGCCCAGCGGATGGCGGCGCAGGACTCACCCCGAGAAGACACACTTTGAGCTCCCGTATCGCCATCATGTGCTTGGGGCCGGTCCGGGCAGGGGCTCAGCATCCTCCGGGGCCCGGGCCGCGCCGCGCCCACGCCGAGCCAGCGTCCTCCAGTCTCCGCCTTTCCCTCGCGGCGCCCGCTGGCGGAACCGCCACCGCTGCTATTTCTGGGCCTCCGGCCCTGCCGCGGTCGGTCACGTGGCAGCCGGCCGGCTCCTCCCGGGGCTTCGGGTCTGACCTCCTCGGGCCCCAGCTCCCAGGAACGCCCCCGGACCGCGTCAGCCGCCCGGGACCCGCGGCGAGGGCATTGCCTCTAAACTCAGACCGGCTCAGCAGCTAAACCCGTTTCTACAGATCCCCCTCCGGCATCTGCCTCTCCAGCCCCGACTCGGTGCAATGCCCGTGAGGTGGAAGGAGGACAGGGCCCGCCATGGGGGGACTTGACCCCACGACGGGCTACATCACTGACTGTTCCATCCCCCATCTAGACGTGGGTGCTGTCAGCCGAGGCCATTTGTATGGGAGCACTTCGGAGCCTGTGTGTCTGTCCCATCGTAAAATGACATTATAGGTTACCGGCAGAGAGGAAGCCAAGCAAGAGGCAATTGTGAGGATTAGAAGGAGGGATATACCCCGTGCAGGTCTCTGCTCTCAGCCCTCAGTTCACTTTTCTATTTGTAGTTGAAAATGGTGCTAGAAGCAGTATTCTTCTAGTCCTCCCTCCAAAACAGGTATATCAGAGTCTGAAAAGGAAACACGCATTCTAGAGAGGAGGCTGCAATGCTCAGTATAGAAAAATAGAAAAGGCTACACCTTGCCTGGGCACCCAGCCCTCAGAAATCTAGCTGGAAATATGGAGCTCCCGGCAGATCTGCATCCTTCCTTCACCTGGAAATAAAAAGAGGTTCCGGCTGGAGACAGTCAAAGGACGCCTGTGGATCTACCATCTTTTCTTCTCCGTGCATGGCCCGGTGTCCCTCACCTACTCAGACTGCTTCATTTGTTGCTGCTATGGAAATGTCAGCCTTTTGAACATATCTAACCTGAATAATTCCCTGGCATTTCCAATTGGAAATAATGTGTTTGAAAAAAAAACTTCACACCCTATCCCAAACTCTCATGCTTCTCTCCAGACTTGCCAACTTTGATCAAGGACAGTCATTCTCCCACTAGGCCACCCACCTTGATTATTTGGCTTTGTTCCCATTGAAGCCTGGTTAAAATTAGGAGCACCCAAGTAGCCCCATACAATGGGGACTTCTGAATTATGGCCTCCAGGAAGAAAACCCTAGAAGCCAGAGTCAAAACAAACAATTGGCAAGTAAATTCCCCAGAGCAGCAGGGGCTTCCCCTTAACAGACAGGTGCAGGCTCACTCACACACATCTGGACTAAACTGTTCAAAAAGTAGTCATGGACAAGATATAGGTCCTATTCAACACGGAGATTATTGTATCAGTATCAGCCCTTGTAGTGTCCAAAGCAAGGACAGTCTTCTATGCAGGCAGAGTGAAAACAGGCCTGTCCGGAATCATCCAGCCCTGGTAACAATACCTCACTGTCCTCAGGTTTGCTGAGGAGAGCAAAGTGCTACACAGTTGCGGAGACAGCAGGGTGAAGCAACTCCTTGACCAAGAGTTTCAACAGCCTTCCCTAGAATCTAGGTCATCCCTAGCAGTATAACTTGAATCTCTGTGCAGGACTTCCTTTTGGCTTTTCTTCTCGTTCCCCAAAAGCTGGTCAAACCAGAGTGGAAGCCTTTCCATAACCTACATCCTAGGGAATGACTGGGAATTCATAAATTGCGATTGGTTGCTGAGGACAGGACCATCCCCAGGCAAAAAAGAGCCAACAGAATTCCTCTTCCATGCCCTTATTCTTCTTCAAGATTCTTCTCATTCCATTCTCTTCAACATTAGCCTAGGTGTCTGGGATACTTGTGCGGTTTCCAGGCTTTAATGAAACAGTCCTTATCCTGGTGCCCCAGCCTCCCTAAAAAACACCCTAATCTGTTTGTCCTCCCCACCCCCCAAATGAGTTCAAAGTCACCTCATTTGTGTATCATTCTGATCAAGCCAAGTGCTCTGCTTTACCAAGTGGCCATGCTATGTCAACTGGAGCACCTTAGTGGGCTTATACTTTCTCCACAGGCAGACCACCCTCAGGGACTTAAAAACTGGCCTCATGAAAAACCTGGTTTGCATGATCAACCCAAAGGGATGCATTGGCTCTCACCAGGAAGGAGGGATGAGGACTGCTAGGAGACATATTTGGGAGTGAAAGGTCCTAGGTAGTTCTCAACATTTTAAAAGCATAATGTTTTCTGTGAATGCTATTCTTATACTCTATGATTACTATAGTAAGGGCCTGTCCTGACTCCCCTGGAATTTTCTGAAAATATGAAGAGGTTCTAATATAGCTTAAGCAGGGATTAAAAAAAAAATTAATGGTACGTAACTGACAATTTATCAAATATCATAATAGAACATTCAAGTTTTTCTTGTGAGGTCATTGTACTAATTCAGAATTCTGTTTTTCTGCTGTTTTAAAGCCTTCAGTGGTGCCATACAAGAAATCCAAACTCCAGTGTATCTTGCCCAACCTAGCCTTTTCTCTGCCCATGTAGTGAAACCCCATCACTTTTCAAAGACCTGCTCAAATTTCATCTCATTAGGAAAGTCTACTCCTGAGCTTTCCTATACTCTGCTCCCACTTTTCTTACCATTTGCTAAACATAAAGTAATTAACAACTAAATCCCTTTTACAAGAAATCAGAGTCTAAACAGATACATGGATGTAATTATCTGTCTATATGAGAGGTACCCATAGATTGGGAAAGGATCATCTCTGTGTCATCTGGGTTTCTTAATGACAAGAAACTTTTTAAAAAAAGAAAGTAATGAGAAATGAATCTTCATATCTCAATCTACCTAGAACTTTTCTAGAAAGATCTTTGGGCTCATATGCTATTTAAATAAGCCTACAGTTTTGTGGGTCTCTGTCTGGGAGACCACATAGTCATCTTCATGATATGGCCCCAAGACCCAGACTTGAAGGAGGAGAAAGCAGCCTGAGGGATTATGAGTTGCTGGAGTAAATCCATAAACTTAACTGCCATGGCTGAAAGTCTTTAAAAAAGAAAGGGACTATTGGGCCATTGATACCAAGGAAAAAAGACCAGGTCTTGGGGTATGAAGTCTCAACCACGAGCAGAAGCACCAGATGGACAAGGCAACAGGTCCACTGTCCTGGGGTTGACAGGCTTCTCTTTTACATCAGGTAGAGAGAAGACAGTTGTAAATTGTTTTGAAAGGATTTACACTGGCTGTAGCTAAAGGGGGCAGGGAAAAGTGAAGTGACACTAGTTCTGACATAGGCACAGAGTCCATAAGGAAGAAGAGTTTGCTCCTGTGGACTAGTTGTAAACAAGTAGCAGAGGCTCCTGGGCTCCATGGCACCTGGCTATTCTCTCTTTTAGATAATCAGGGGATAGCCACCTGGAAGTTAATTCAGAGTTCCAACACACATCCAGAAATGTGAGCAGTCTTGTTAGCTGACCCCCAGTTATTAACAGCCTATTCTGTTTCTTTCTCTCACTCTCCAGGCTTCTATAATTTAATTTAGAACATCTCAGAAATTCTCTCTTGTCACTAGGGAGGACTAAGAACAGAAGGAGCCTCCATTTGTAGGGAGGAGATCATCCCCAGACACCAGAGAACGAAGCAGTGTGGTGCAGGGCATGGGAGGTACATATCCCTCTGTAATTACTATCCTCCATTGGCCACCCCAGCTGTCTTCATCTTCATGTGAAAAGGACAGTGATATCTTATAGAAGCATAGGAGCAGCCCCTGGAAAAGTGGGTAAGTTGTCAGCACTCGGGACAGAGGGAAAGGAGCAGAGGAAGGTGGGAACCTGCCTTCCTCTTTTTCTCTATCACCACCAGAATGCAAGTACTCAGAAATGTTTGAGAAAAAACAGATCGTCCTCACTTAAAACAAGGGAAGCATCTGTTGGGCTTTCACAAAGGATTGTTGTCAAGTGACAGCTTTCCAGATATACCTTCCTGAGTCTCAACACTGGGCACCATGCCAGCCTTCTCATTTAACTGACCTCTTCATGGACACTCCTGCCCGTCACCCTCTACAGTCTTCCCAGTCCCTGGTTGAACTGGAAAGATTGAGTTAAAAGAAGATATTAAGATATATGTTAACATCTCCCACAAAAATCAAATGAATAAATTCAGCTAGGAGACCACCTCCAATAAGTCGTAAACAATAATGTAACACAGTCAGACTTACTGGGAAATGAAATTTGCAGTGATATGCAGACCAAAGTCAACCCAACCCAGTTTCATTTCTTAGACCATCAGTAGATGGATTTTCCTGGCCAGTCATATAAATGTCACTGAAATTGCTTAGAGTAATACTATGGAGTTTAGGATATATATTTTTTTCTTAAAAGTGGTTATGTTTAATATTTTTTTACTTTAATATTATTTGTTGTCAAACTAGAAAATTGATTTTAGATGTTGGAAACAATTCTCATATCTTCAGGAATTTCTTTTAATTATTTAAAGAATTACTCAGCAAACACCGGATGCTGTCTTATGTGCTTGACACTGAGCAGGGACCAAATGAAAAAAAGGACACCTGCTGGCGTGAAGCCTACAATGGAAAGAAGCAAACAAATAAGCAGGCAACTATAATATGCTATTAAATGTCTGAGGCTTAGTATATTTGCTTCATTTTTCTTACTCTTTTGATTAAGAAAATGAATATAACTTCCAAAGTTAGCAAACTTTGAATATAAGATGGCTAGAATTTGAACCTAGTCAACCAGGAGGTGAATGGAGGTGGGGTGGGGGAGAGACAGAAAGACAGAAACAGAGACGGTTCTTTGTTCTGCCTGAGTTTCCAAGACTGTCCTAGACTATGAAGAGCCTAAAGCTAGTTTCTAATTCTGAGAGCCTCTCAGGAGATCGAAGTACAGTAAGTGTTCATTTACTATCCACAACAAGTTCTTGAAATTGAAGCTTTAAGCAAATGATGTACAACAAAACGAAGTTTATTCCATTTCAGGGTTGTGTGTGGCTGGAACCCACCCTGGACAGGACGCCCTTCTGTCACAGGGCTAATCTATGCCCACACCCCCAAACTCACTCGGCCTGG